CCGTACCAGATGAAATATCGTATGTTATTTATAATTTCTTGACAAAATTTTAATGTCTTTAATAAGTTAGATGCAGAGACAGATACTATGTTACAGTACTTACAGGCTTGTAAAGAGGGTTAGTGATATATTTTACCTCAGAAAAGCCATTTCCTGTGACTTTTATTAGTATCAAACTCCTACATAACCTCTAAATTCCATTAAACCCTCAAAATTTAAAAACAGATTTTGTTATTGTTTTCCTAGCTTTTGCACATGTATAATTAGGTATAAAAAAATTTTTATATAATGGTTGTGGTGAGGCCTACTTAATTTATTATACCCTAACATGGATAATGAGCGTGCCACTTACATTAATGATTTCCCTTTTTTTGAGGTAATTCGCAAAACTTAGCAGAAAATACATGTTTTCAGTATTTCTGAGAATTTTAGAGCAAAATATCAAATTTCAACTACTACAATTCAGGGGTGGAAATGGAAGGAAAGGTTACTTACCTAAAAAATTAGATTTATAATAATAAATAAACAATACAATATTCAATACGATACAGGTTATACGATCGATAAGGGCATATCGATACGCTCCAACCATATGATACAAAATATCAATATTTTCCGGTCCTTGTATCGATATCCGAATCGACAAGTATCAATAAGCACATCACTACCTATGAGCACATCTGAGAAATCTGTACCGGTACCGGTAAGCTTTTTTTACAACTTTCATCAAGAAGAGAAGTTGTGTTTTTGGTTAATAGGGCAAATTATGAGACGATATTAACATTTGAAAGAATGTAGGCCTACTGTAGGTTATTTAAGAATAGGCTTAAACTTGTTATTCCAAAATATTACCTAAATATTTAAGTACTTAAGTACTGTAATTTCAGATTAAGTTAGACTAAGTTATCTGTAAGCTTGTAAGCTGTAAGAAAAATCTGTAAGCTTTTTTTAACATTCATCATGAAGAGAATTTTTTATGGTTAATACGGCGATTTATGAGACGATGAACATGTGAAAGAATGTAAGTTAGGCCTACTGTAGGGGATTTAAGAATAGGCTTAAACTTGTTACAGAAGAACCCCAGTTAACCAAAATAAAGGGGGGAGAGCCGTTTCGGATAACCAATTTTTCAGTTAACGCTACTCGTAGCATGTCAACAGTGCTCTGATGTGATTTACTCGGGCCGAGTGAAGTCGGATACTACTCTACTTTCTCGGATTCCGAGTGTCTCACTCGGCTTCAAGATGGCCACAGAGGATGAGGTTAAAGTGAAAAACAAGAAAATCTTTAAAAGGCTGTCTGATAGGGTAACAGTTTATTTTGTTGAATAGTACAAAGCTGAGGAAGTTCTGTGGAATGTTTATCATGAAAATCATAAGAACAAAGGCGCAAGGGATAGTCCTGTGGGTTGCATTGTTCAGAAATTAGGGATACCCGGTTTTAACGCAGAACATGTTCTTAAAAAGATTAACAATATAAGAAGTAGGTACTTACAAGAAGTTAACAAAATTCAATCCGAGTGTTGTTGTGCGTGTTAACACCGTTCCGAGTTAAACAGATGCATGTACTCTGACCGAGTACAAATAGTTAGCTCAGACCGAGCTTACTCGTACCGTTTCAACCCGGCTTTATTTCTGCTATAGAAAGGTTTTAAATGGGCAATGGGTTAGATTCAGATAATACTTTAAAAATAAAAAACAACAAAAGTAGGCCTAACTGAAGCATTTTGTATTACCGTACATATTAGGCTAGGCTACTTTTATTTTAGGGAACAGTTTCGGTTTACCCGGGTTTCGGTTAAGCAGGGTTTCAAAATTATTACCTAAATATTGAAGTACGTACTGTAATTTAAGTAAGTTAGGTTAGTAAGTATTACTGTAGTACATCCAGCCGATTAAGATACTTAACAAAAATACAATTAATACGGTTAACTTAAATTCTGTTAAAAACAATCAATTGCTATATGTATGGTGCCGCACTTCTTATATGAAGTTCAAACGTCTTTGACCAGCAATATTTTTGTTATTGGCGAAAACAACGATAACTTAATCACGGTATTTGGATGAGTCAATGGTATTTGGCAAATCACCTTAGGCCTATTAATAATTAACTTAGAGGCTGCTTTAGGTTTACTTATCGGTTTAAATTTGGCCACTTGTTTTATTATTAATTATTATGTTTGCCACTTATTTGAAAACATGATGCCAAGGCCTAACTTAAACTTCTAGAAAACAAGTTAAGTAATGTGTTGTCCAAGTTACATGTTGTCCAGATAGACAAAGTACTGTAGGTACCTAGTTATAGTGCTCACCTCTAAATCTGCAGGAGTAAGTTATTTGATTCCAAGCAAGTTGATTATTTTCAGTTATGAATTAATGATGCTAAGTTTGCCTAAGTTATCTAACAATAAGTGTAAACAAGATAATGTTGTTAGCTAGGCCAAGTAGCTTAACAAGACCATGGTTTGGACCGCTCTCTTTCAAAAGGTTAAAAAAATTCCATTGGCATAGGTAGCACACAAAATAATAAAATAAAGCCAAACACCCCCCAGGACATAGCCTAGGCCTAGTTCAGCGTATACAGGCATAACTTAAGTTTCTAACTTACACGCCTAGGCCTAGTCATATCTTTTAGGACCAATACACTGAAAAATGCAAGAAGATTAACAACAGTTAATAAACTACATAGGCTAGGCCTACTACGAAAACTTCAGGCTTTAAGTAGAGTGATTGTACTTAACCTAAATGTTGAGTGGAAGTGCTACCCACCCGACTTGGTACACTTGTGTGTTCTACCTACCTGCTGGATAAATCACGTCACTGTCACTAATCAACTACTGTAAAGCAGGACTATGGGGTAATTTTTCAATAGACGAGACTATTAATTAAAAGAAGACGATAATAAGCGAAAAGACTGTTCTATGTAACCCAAGTTGGCCAAGTTTATAAATGTTTGATTAGCCTATTCTATAATGCGATTTTGACATATTTTCATTCATAGAGTACAAAATGTAAGGATTAACTGACTTAAAACTTAATTTTGAGTAAAAAGTCGAAATCACCAAGTATATTATTGACGGTTTACGTTTGTTTAGCCGTTTACTAACATTTTTGCAAACAAAAAATGACAGACTTGTATACTCAACACGACGACGGCTGAGGGAGAACTGAGATAGTCAAATGAACAATGAATGACAACCAAAGTCAAAATTGAAAATTAAGTTAAAAACGTTAAATCGAAAACATTAACAAAAATTATTGAAATATACCTTAGAAAGAACTACACAAAAAAATAAATATGTGGTACAAGACTCAGATTTTTTAACGTTTTCGTAAAAAAGCCTTATGGTAACAAAGTTTAGCATACGAAATTTTTTAGTTGAGTATGAGGACTTCACTTCGTTTCGTCCAATTAGCAAACTTATTGACTGTTTACAATCAACATATGTTCTTCTTCTCACTTTTAATTTCTGACAACAGCTGGAGTTTCATAACAATTTTTGTTTCCCATGTTAATCATATGGAGAGATACGAAACTTTTAAGGACTCCAGGGCCTCACTCTCTAATTATTTCCCTAAAAAGAAAGATTCCTGCACAACTTCACGTTACGCTCTTTCCAATGACACCAAAAACATGTCAATGGGTTCAGTAGTTTTGGAGGAGTAATTGTCACAAAAATCCTGCTTGCGTTTTAAATAAGTACGAGAGGTCGTCCAGTGGTCGAAACTCGACCAAAAATATGTAATGTACTCACTTATCTATTTTCACCCCACACTGTAAATAAAACATGTGATTGGAGTTTATTCCTCCATTTGTTTTGATTTTCTGTTTATATTTCGTTGTTATTTCGTAACCAGCATAGCAACGCATAAGATCCAAGTTAATTTTTTCAAATTTTTAAACTCATTTTTTGTGCTTATCTTTGAGCCTATTTAAATTTATAAAGGGATTCTGCACACCTACAGGAAAATAGCTTTCCAACGGTATGCGTAGATTTTCCCTACGATTCACACGAGCTGAGAAAAAAGGTTTTAAAGAAACATGCTTGCCTATTAATATATAGATAGATAGATAGATTTCTATTCTCAAAGATATCTTCAACAGTAGTTTCTTATGTATTTTATTTACTGTTATCCTAAAATCTACAACTGAATACTTCTAAAAACACTCGACAGGACCAGCTACTTGCACCACGTGGACAACTTCTCTTGTCTAGCTCATTTTTCAATTGATTTGAAACTATTACGATGGTCTCGGTTAACCCAGGAAGTCTTCTTTACAACAAAAGAAAGTGGACTGAACCAGTTTAAATTGTCTTAACTTTTTTCCCGGTATCAGTAACCTCCCAAATAAAACTTTGATGGCAAATAACAGCACGAGGGGATTGATATCATATGGGGAACAGCATATGAGAACAGGAGCCCCTTACATTTTTATTAAAAAGGTACCAAAAAGACTCTGTTTTATGCATGTGTATGTTATTTTATCTGTAGGCATCCTAATTTTCTAGTTTAAGTTACAAGTTTTCATGCATCTGTAAGATGATTAAGTCTCTTAAAAGAGTAAATGAAGGAAATACTATTTACAATACAATACAAGGTTTGACAAGCTAAAGCTTGGATCCCAACTTCAATGGTAACTGTGGTAGGTAGGTAGTTAACTAAATAACTTTTCAGAGATTTTAAACTAAAATTCTGCCAGTATCCTTGATGAATTCCCCCCTCCTCAGCTCATATTATCGATTATCGTTTACACCTGACTTTGTGACACAAGCTTCCAAGTGGGAGGATCTTATTCTTACATAAAATAAACATTTTACAAAACTAGAAAAGAATTATATTTTATTTTACCTACCATTTAATCTTTATTTAAATGTCTCAAAAATAAATAACCTATATCTGATATTTGGTTTGTATTCTTAAATAACTCTGGTTCCATGTAATTTAATTATCAGTTTATCTGTGTCATTAACTGCAGACGATGAGTGAATCACTACTTACCTTGCAAAAGCATTAAACAGAGCGATGATTTCATTACGGTCCAGCTGGAATTGGTTCTTCCCGAGGTTAGCAACACTGTAGGGCGATGGAGATGGTTGATCAAATCTCCCAGAAAACAATATTTTGAGGGCAGTGCCAAGACCTTGGATCTGCATCAGAAACATTTAGGACTAACAAAATTGTTACTGTGTATGTTATAAATTAATTCTTTTGCAGGAAACCTGCAAACTATTTGAATTTTCAGTTTAATTATCAAATTAGTATTAAAACTGGTCTCTAATATGAGGGAATTTAAATAATACATTCACAAACAATATGTATGACATTTAGCATAATACAATGCTACAACAGACACTAAAAGGTATTTTCAATTAAGTTTACCAAACTTCCAAAGTTTCCAATAAAGTAACGAGATATGGCAAATTGTAGGTAGATATATTCATTCATGAAGATGCAATCTACATAAATTAATTTACCATTAATTCATCATAAGGATAGCACCATTTACAGTCAATAATAGCATGCACGACAACAAACAGCATTTATTACTTTTAAGATCCCAGGCCCTCTCCCCATGTTCAAACCAGGTTTTTTTGAAAATTCATTGCATTATACCTATTAACATAATTGATGGTGACTTTCCCATAAATTGAGCATTATATCAAAGATCAACTAACTTAACAGAAAAGCCCTCATAGCAAGCTTCTGTACAGTGCTCATACTGACTGATAATATAATATATATAATCTATCTGTGACACATAGTAATAATTTCCAAACACATTGACTGGTCATCATGATTGTTTCTAATGTCTTTTTCTTACAACAAATATAAAGACTGACTCAATAACTGAAGAAGATAAAGTAAATAAAAAATTATTGAGATTTACCCATTCAAGATCAAATACCAGGTGACTTTCAGTTAGACCATTAGTGAATTAAATGTTTACACGTCTATGTGTCTTTCTGAAAAACTATCCAAGTCAAAAGTGTTTACCTGTAGCTTGCCCCACAGTTTGCACTTATCACACCCGACACAATCCATTATCGCTGTGATGTTTCGGAAATGCAAACCAAACTCCTCTTTGAGTTTAGTAGCTTGTGCACCCCCAGAAAACATGGTTGATTCATTAAAGTGCTCTGAGAACGACCTGAATCAAACAAATCAAAGTTAGCATGGAGTTTGTATAGGAAGAATAATTTGTTTTGGGTTATTGTTTACATTATCGCAGATGAGAACTATTAGAAATGACAGTCGTTGTCTGCAATTAATTTCAGAATAAAAATTAAGTTTACTAAGGGTATCTCGGACCATGTAAACATCATATTTGTGGTGAGTCAGTGAAATTAACCTAATTTATTGTGGCATTTTAGTTTTATCAACTTCTAATATGTGTGTTAGTGTTGAAGAAAATAGAATTGAACTTAGTTTTGTATTGCATTTAAATTTTAAGAACTAATGGATATAGTTCGATTAATATTCACTTATAGTTTATTCACTTCACTCTCTCATTCATAATTCAACTTACAACATACATACATACATACATATACTTACAACATACACAAACTAACTGTGCGCGAAGCAATTGTTTAACATGTTGTGAGGAACTGGGAATACTTCTCAATCTTATCCCACGACAGTGACGGGAATAATTACCTTAATTCCGGGGAATACTTCTATGAAATGTCTAAGCTGTTTACCTTCGGTGGGTTGTGTGAGCTGGTTGTGACTTCACAACTGTTCACATTTGTTTTCGAGGTTTATCGGAATGGTGAATTATATGTCAAATTTTAATATATGTTAAATTTTTTTTATATGTCAAATGATGAAGGAGCGTAATCCCGTGAAAATATTCAGATTTGCCCAATCCCTGTCTAGCGGGCACTTCAACGTTTAGAGCCACAAAAAGAGCCAATCCTGAAATCTCAACAAAATACATCAAGGCCTGTGAATCTAAATTATTTACCTGTAAAATCGTACTAACCTAAGACCACAGCCTAAAAATATAGACACGAACCATGAACTATCATGGTATGTTAATACGCAGTTTTATATGTGTGATTTATTTTATGATGATTTGGCACCTAATGTGTTAAAAATTTCGACTGATATGAAAGTTTCCGTATCGAAGCACGGGTGTACCGCTAGTTGCTACAGTATACAATAAGTTGTCCTTTAAGCATGTTTTGTATTAAAAGTTGACATAATTCGACAGACATCAGTAATTTACATCAGCCCCATTTGCCAGCAGCTCAATTCAAATACGTTCATTTTCATTCTAAATAACTACATTTTTAACATGGGAATGTGATGTATACTTGTATCCATAGCCAGATGATACTGAAACAATGACGTTACCTTAACCCTTTGAGGTAAATTTTTTTTCATTTTTCGGCGAGTATATGTAGCCATTTGAGCAGTCGGGAAAATGGCGCCCGGCGACCTATACTCGCCATTCGACCGCAAAGGGTTTAACTATTCATACATCATTTTCTATATTAAACACCCACTTGATGACTTGTAGCAAGTTCACAACAGCATCCTTAGTATCGCTGTCGTCCTCGTGGCGACCAGTGAAGTACTCCTCCTGTTCCAAGTACGGAGCTGCCTTTGCCAACGCCCTCATCTCTAGTAGGTAGACAAAGTACAAGTTGCGTATCCACTCAGGGCCTTCCCCGTTGGTCGTCTCCGGACTGAAGCGGCGTTCAAACTCCACCAGGTTGGGACCCCACCTGCCTCCTCCGTTGATCACACCAATGTCTGCAACAGAAACGATGAATAATCATATATGTACAGCACAACCAGGAGTCTGGTGCAGTACATAGTTCCTTTCATAAAAAATTGTGTAGGCATACTGTGCTAATCAAATGAAAAATTTTTGCCTTCCTCGTAGCAGCAAACCTTAGTACTGGCTAAATCCAAATGTTGTTTAAATAGAGAATAAAAAAACATATCTTGTTTAAGGAAACATTTGAGTAAAATTCCAATGAGGCAAATGGAAATTAGCTTAGTCTACAGGTTTGCTGCAGCGGAGTATTTGCTACCATATGTTTATTTGAACGTTGATGCTGTCAAGAACATACCAGGATGGAAAAAAAATTATCTCTGCTTGATTGTACTTCTGCATTAACACGTTCGCTACTGCAATAGTACGAAATTTTCCATTCACGTGGACCAGCGATGCACATATGCGACGGCCGGTTCCCACCCATAGACTGCCGTCGCATATATACGACGGCTAGTCACATTAAAACAGACTGCCGACGCATATCTGCGTCGGGGTTCTAATGTAATTCAAATGCTTTTATCTTTGTAACGGTCTATATGAAGGCACTGAATTCCCTGTAGTGGTCTCTACTAGGGATGGGCGAGTAGTGTTTTTTTGAGTCGAGTCGAGTAATTAGCCCTAATACTCGAGTATCGAGTCGAGTCGAGTCGAGTAGTTCACGAGAAAATCAACAATTTTATTTTACATATATTCAATATTTATTTGTACGAACAAAGCATTTCTCAATTCACCAAAAATAGACCTGGTTAAAAACTTTTATACCATATAAAAAACACAATATGTATGTGTATCAAACTTTACAACGACATTACAAAAGGTAAAAAATACCCCCGCCGCAGCAAACCTGCCGACTAAGCGAATTTCCATTTGTCTGAATTGATTTTCAATTAAATATATTTTAATAACATTAGGTTCAACGAGTACCTAGGTTTGCTGCTACAAGGAAACTAATAAAGTGTGTTTTTGAGTAAAATATTGATAGCTTAGTACAAAATAAATAAATTTGCCAAGTTTGATCAAAATATATCCATAAACAAGCAAACTACAACATTTGACAATATTCTCCGTAAGAATAACATGGGAATTTTAAAATTTACAATTTTTTTAATTTTCTCCGTTACTAATAATCGAACAAAAATACTTTTATACACTAAATTATTTGTTTTTTTAAGCTCTTTAAAAAGGTCTAAAGAGAAATCGGGAAATTTTGTGTTTTGAGGGTCAAAAGTGAGAAAAACCAATTTTTACCCCATAAAACCCCCCGTAAAGCCCCGTTCCCATGGTCCGATCGTGCTGGTTCGCGAACTCATTCAAGTTTATCCCGCTTTACACCTTTAAACCAAATTTCATCAAAATCGGACAAAAATTACTCAAGTTATCGCGTTCACGGACGTATATATATCTTATCTTACTAATATTATAAATGTGAAAGTTTGTGTGTTTGTTTGTTTGTTTGTTTGTTTGTATGTTTGTTTGTTTGTTTGAAGTTCAATCACGCATTAACTACTGGACGGATTGGGCAGAAATTTGGCATGATGATAGTTCACATTCCCGATTAACATATAGGCATATTTCTATCTCAAAATCTTTTAGGGTTCCGCCCCAGTGGCTCTGTAGTTCCCCATGTTAACCTTATGAGTATTCATATTTAAAGGGAGTTAAAGAATTTAGTCAACTGTTTCAACTAAAAAAGGTGGTTCTATGATATCCAAAGCATTAAAAAGTTATAAGATTTACCAAGAGGGTGCAGCACTATTTTTTTTTTCATTTATGAAAACAGCTAATTTGAACTAAGCCGCAACAAAAAAACTGTGATACGCAATGAGAAATGTCAAAGTAGGATTGTTTACAATTATGTTTATGTTTTAAATTAATGAATAATTTGTGATATTTTGCGAATTTTTAATAATTTTTTTTTCTCTATTGTTTAAGTAAAGTGGTAGAACATTATGGCTATGGTAGATGTGTACAGTCCAACCTCAGTATAACGAATCTGAAGGGACCGAACTGAATATTCGTTATATCAAGGATTTCGTTAAAATGAGGTTCGTTATATAGAGGTTAGGTTTGCAGGAATTTCGCTAAGTCGAGGTTCAGAACCAGTGTCGGTCAATATAGGCCGGCATTTGACCTCATTAAAACACAATTAAAGTAGCATAGGCTACAATACTTTACAGTACAGTGTTCATTGTGCAGTAGAACCTTCTGTATCCAATAGTCAATGGTAGAACCTAAATTATCCGGCATAATAAAGGTGAGGGATCTTGAATGTTGCGCAATCATGACAATGGCATTTGCCTTGGTACAGGTTAAAAACTTTAAGTTTAAAATCACAGCTTGTTCTAACCCTCCTAAAGACTAGTCAAACACTACATTGCGTAGTCATAAACCATGTAAAGAACAAAACAAAACAGTAGAAAGTTGTGTAAGCTACTGCTCGCGATAGGCCAGTACGCTACCGTAGGCTACAGTACTGATTTATCATAACAGAGGAATGTCAATAATAATCATTAACTATAGCATTGGTGTTGCTAGTTGAAACAAATCGTATTGAAAACAATAAATTATTAGATAAGTCATTATAAAAGTGCATATTCATAGCCAACTTTAAGATAATAAAAACACTCGTAAATTAAGGAATATTAAAATAACGATGTTGCTATTCTTTCTCTTTGCTTTTGTTTTTATATTCTTTCTTAGATTTCTCTTTATCCAAAAATTGTACAATTCACCATATTTACTTATCACCCAATCACAGCTTACTACAGATTACGTCGTCATCAGTCCTCAGTGAATGAAATCAGTTCTCAGTTGCAACATTATTGCGTGCGCAGCGACAGCAGGAGCAGACAGAGAGATGTGTAAAACGGAGCAGACGAATGTTAGCGCAAGCGATGACGTCACCTTTCCATTTCATTTTATAAAGAAACAGATTTTCCAAAAACAATACTGGGGTGGGGGATTTGTTATATCAAGGGAAAGACGTAGACGATTCGTTATGCAGAGGTTAAATTCGCAATGTAGAGGTTCTGACAAAGATAAATTCGTTATATTGAGGTGTCTTATTTTAGCCGAAATCACGAAAAATTCGTTAAATCAAGGTCATTGTTATGGTTTGTTCGTTATGTAGAGGTAAAATATACATAGTCTCTTATGGAGAGTTCTAGGGGATTAAAAAAAATTCGTTATATCAAGGAATTTGTTATATTGAGGTTCGTTATATCAAGGTTAGACTGTAATACTATAGTATACCGTAAATTTAAAGAAGCAAATTTTATCAAACTGTGTCCTCCCACCATTGCAAACTTAAAACTCGAGTATAACTGCAATAAGAATTTTTTACTTATATGCCTACCCCGTACGAAGGACGGGTACTCTGCTAGTATATGTATATATATATATAAGTCTATATATATATATACATATATAAAAATTTGAACGAATGGTGTTTTTGGCCTCTGGGGACATCAAAATGAAAAAGTAAATCGGTCCCGGGTCTAGGTCTTACCGTGCCACCTACGGTAATAGCTACTTCCCTATAGGGAAATTCGCTAAAAATAGAAAAAAACAAGAATAATTTATTTACAAACACAATTGTAGCGTATTACAATGTAAATGATAACTGTTTTACAGGTTTTCACCCGTGGTCTGTGTGTACTGTTATCCAAGTGACAGCCGGTCTATGTGTAAGATTCAAATGTATACCTCGGTCTGTGGCAATGACCGCGACGTCGCATATATGCGACGCTCAGTAGCGAACGTGTTAAGCTTTATTTCAGAGCACCAATCTAAAATACTCACCAGAAAGTAGGTATTTTGCACTGAGATGAATGTTGATGCTGGAATGTATACCAGAGATTACTCTGTAGAACACCCTCTTCTCCAAACACATGTCTGTGAACATAATAAACACATTACAAAACAGAAGAAGGAACTCATAAACTGATTAAAATTATTTAAACTTAAAACTAACTTGAGGATTTGTTAAAGCTTCTTTGTGTCAATAGATTTGTAACGCAACACGGCCAGCAGCCCTGAATTTTCAAAAGCTTGCACACAGTTCTCCTCGTAAGATACGAAACTAACAATTTAATATATTAAAATAAATAAATCACTTAGGCCTACATAAATAAAGATTCATATTATGAAATAACTTACTGTTCAGTTTTGAGGACTTGATGTAAGCGTCAAAGCTATGTTTTGGCCTGCAAAATGGATGCAAAATGAATTATAGTCAAAGACACAACATTGTAAGCAACAGGTTTTTGAATAAATTACATTGTCGTTTCTTAACACTTGACAAATTTATTAGGATTTAAGTCAAACACTTTTTGAGTTCAACACTCTATTATACAGGGTGAGTTTTAATTGTTCCCCCCCCAACTTTTTTCTAAATTTTTTTTCAAACATCAATCCCAGACCACTTCCAAACATTGTTGGGTAGTAAGTCCTTTATTTTGACAGGGTGCTCATTTCCGGCCGCCATCTTGGATCCGCCATATTGGATGCAAAAATTTTTTCTCAAATGTAAAGGTGGGGTTGTGACCCATTATTTCGAACTAGATTTTTACCCTGATTACAATGCCGCAAACACTTTTCAAAAATCTTGATCTATTCCAAAGTTATGAGGGCTTTTTAAAACTTTATTTTTAGTCCATTTTAACATTGTGCAAGTACAAAATAAGATCATAATCTCAAAATAGTGCTAGATAAAGTTAAGTATACACTACCAGTAATTGTCGACCTATTTTCACTTGGTTATGACTGATGTATTTTTTCCGGCCGCCATCTTTGATCCGCCATTTTGAACTGTGATAAATTATTTTAAATGTGAAGGGGGTGTTGTGACCCTTCATTTTGAACTACTTTTTTAAGCTAAACTCAATGCCGCAATCCGTTTTTCATTTTCATATTTTGATTTTGAAATATTGACATTTTTAACAAAAAAGTTGCAAAAGTTTAAAAAAACCCTCATAACTTTGGAATAGATCAAGATTTTTGAAAAGTGTTTGCGGCATTGTAATCAGGGTAAAAATCTAGTTCGAAATAATGGGTCACAACCCCACCTTTACATTTGAGAAAAATATTTTGCATCCAATATGGCGGATCCAAGATGGCGGCGGAAATGACCACCTTGTCAAAATGAAGTACTTATAACCCAACAATGTTTGGAAGTGGTCTGGGATTGATATTTGAAAAAATGTAGAAAAAAGTTGGTGGGGGGACAATTAAAACTCACCCTGTATATAGATGAACCAGAGACAAGTGAAATAGTTGCACGCATCACTTAACACATTGAGTGCGCACCGGTCACCGCGGACCAGTCTGGTCACCGGTGCTTGGCCAGGTCCTGCAGAAATGAATCAAACGTTGTGGCACGGTCTTGAGGATTAGACAGAAGTTATTGTGTGTGTGTGTTATAATTGCATCTATTGTGTGTGTTTCGCCCGCTGTTCCCTGTGATCAGCGCCGGTCACCTGTGCCCTGTAAATTTGTAACGGGTCAAATGTGTAGGGGGTAAAATAACGGCTAAACCACGAAACTTAAACAGCTGAATGTAAGCTGTTGTTGTGCCCTAGTCGCGACGCTAAACTGACATCGCACCTAACCTCCAATTCCAAGACAGCAGACGACGTTGGTGTCAGTTTGGTTGTTTGGTTGTTCGACTGCGTCTGAGGGCGGGCTACGGGAGAGAATAAGAGCAGCTGACCCACTTTGTGAGCGAGGCAGTTATAAAGCATGTTAAAGCTGTCATACGCCTGCCTTTGCTGACACGGGACTCAGCTGACTCTGTTTGTGCTGACCAATCAGGAAGCGTGTTAACTTTCGTCTCGATTCTGAGACGAAGGTGAGGGAAGAAGAAGAGTTGTGGAGGAGAGTTGTCATTCGTATTCCCGGCATTTCGCGAGTTCGTTCGTCTTCAATTTGAAGAGTTTTTGTTTTCGGTTCGTCGCTTAAAAGTTAGCCTACTTTAAGTTCGTGGTGCATCGAGTGCGCAAAAAGTGTTTCACAGTATTATTACTTCGTTTGGTAAGTTGCGTAACACTTAGACAACTTAGGTTTTTCTTTCGAATACTTCTCCGTCACTTGTGTTTCGGCAGAACTTTGTCGAAGTTCATAGGCTAGGCCTGATTCGCAGACCTCGTCATACGCTTTAACCAACTCATTTAATTAAAGTATCGGAGTTGGTGACAGATCATTTCGATTAACGTTTCATAATCCGTATTTGGGACTTACTTTTTAATTCTTAAATCTGTTTCAAAGTTCTTTTAGCATCCCGAAGTTTGTCCCAGCAGACAGGTTTCTGCTGGACAAGTTCTGTCGAAGTTGGTCTAAGTTGAACACGTGAGGAAGTTAAAGTTTTAGTTTTTCGTTTTTTTGGCTCAAGGAGCAGTTTCACCTTTTTAGTTTCGTTTTTTGTTCGTTCCTCACCTGGACCACTTAGGCTAACTTGTTTTCTTATAATTTAGTAAATTCGGACTCTGTGGGAGTTAGGCTAGGTTAGGCCTATCTTGTACTAACCTTGTTTGTTACAGGTTGAAGATTTAACTCCGTAGGTAAGCGGAGTGACTACTTAGCTTACTTATTGATTCGTTAAGTTAGCTAGTAGTGTATCATTTAGATATTTGCCCACAGAGTCAAGTCAAAATTATTATTTTCCCCACAAGCCCTAGGCTAGAGTGGTGATTTCGAGTAGGGTGTTTAGTAACCCGCAACGTTCGTCTCGAGCTCTGACAACCAGGGCTATCAAAGTTAGGCTATCCGAATCACTATCGACTCCTGGGAAACTCCCCGCGACCAGACTAGGGCGAATCCTGGGATCTCGTTTTCTTACCGGTGGCGTAATTTACCTCTTGTCGTCCGCCAGGAAAATTAGGTCACATAAATGGCGCCCGAAGCAGTTGGACCAGTGATTGGATAGTCTGATAGTACTTGGTGAGCTCAAGCTAAGATCGCTGTAGCAGCTGACGTCGAGTTGTAAGATTTTAGCCTACGTTAACCGCTCTAGCCTATCAAGTGTTTGCCTAGGCCTACTGTTATTTTTTATTCTACGTTACCGTTCTAGCCTAGCATTTCTAGTTTAGTAGGTAGCTTAGGCCTACATATTTTCTAGTTTCGTCGTTGTAGCCTATTGCTAGCCTATGCCTATTGGTGTTTAACGTTGAATATTTTAGCCTATTTGTGTGATAGCCTATTTATTTTAGGTAAAACGTTTACTTTATAGTAGCCTATTGCATTTTAGCCTTTTATTGTTGGATTTTGGAGCAGTTTGGACTTGGTCCTATTTTAACAAATTTTTTTGGGTTTTGAGTAGGCCTACCTAGTTGGGACTTAGGCTGGAAAATAAAATTTTTTTTTTTTTTTAAGTTGTCTTGTTTGGACTTAGATAGTTCTGTTCAACGTTAGGTTTGAATTTAAATAGGCCTATTGTGGATTTTTCATAATTGTTAAGCAATTTCAGCCTTTTTAAATTGTTGTTGCCATTTGTTTGTTTTGTTGTGCACTAATACTTTGCAGCTATGCCTGACTCACTCCCTGAAGTTTGTACGACGCCAGGAGTTCTAACCACGGCTGGTGCCGTGGTGATTACGTCATCGGTTATCCCCACCTGCTCTTGCGCATCGACGGTTACCACAACATCGACGGTGTACACACGACCGATGACCTCGACCGGCTACTCCGCTCCGCTCGCCCCAACGGAAGATCCTCGCGTTGGATGGATCTACCGGTTGTCTAAACTACAGTTGATCGCTGAGGTGGAGCGACTCGACCTACCCACCCATGGCACGGTAGAGGAACTTCGCAGGCGCCTTTGCCTATACTGGCGGATCAACGCTGGTGCTCAGACCCCCGCAACCTCCCAGGAGGAGGTGCTTATGACTGGCCAGGTGTTAGATAACCAGGCCCGGACTTCGGTGCATGAGCCTACTCCACGCCTTTCGCCTTTCGACTACCGAACGGGGTCAACGCATCAACCTACTGCTTGGAGACCACCTGGTACCTATGGACCCGTAGGCCTACCCCCTGCTACGTTCCAGCGTCAGAGCCCACCTGCTGCGGTCACCTCGGCACCGCACGAACTGTCCTTCGCCGGACAAGAGGACGTTACTGATGCCCAGCATACCTTCGACTCGGCTCAAGGGTCTCTGCCTCGGGAATACCCCTTCGAGGACCCAATACATCGAAGTTTGGACCGCATACGCCAAATGCTAGGCCTATCGACCAATGCCGACCTGCGCAGCATGGAGCACACGTTAGCCGAGGTGTTGAACCTCGAACGGCGGGGCCCAAGAACACATGATGCTGACTACGCTGAGCCGCCAGCTAACGAGATGGACCAGCTAACCTCTCGGTACGCCGTCCCGTCTCGGACGAACGATGTGTATGGAGGTGTCCGGTCTTCGTACGTCCTGCGGAGTCATGACCTGCATGAGGACGTTGCTAAAACGTCGTCCGCCCTCTGTGACAAGGTCCGGAAGTGGAACTTGCGCTTCGACGGCAGACGAGATGCGGTTTCGTTCCTGGAGCGTCTAGAGGAGCTGCGCGAGGCCTACTCTCTGTCGCCAGAGGACGTTTTGAAGGCTTTGCCTTCACTTCTACATGGCCAAGCTCTCCTCTGGTACAGGAACAACAAAATGATGTGGCGTTCCTTCCACGACTTTAGGCGGGCATTCGAGGTCCAGTTCTTCCCTGCTGGCTATCATCGCCACTTGGATGACGAGATACGGAAGCGCACTCAGGGTGAAACAGAGGCATTTAAAGATTTTGTGATTGCCCTGACAACCCTGATCCGACGGAGCGGCACTTTCTCTAACCAGGAAACCATCGACCTGGTGTACTTGAACATGAGGCCGGAGTACAAGTTCATGATACGACGTCATGACTTTGCCACGCTACCCGACCTCATCGAGCGAGCCGACGAATACGAGGAGCTGCTACGGGAGCGCAAGCTGTTCCGCCCTCCCCCTCCAGTTGCTCAAGCGTTGGTACCTGAGACTGCCTACACGCCCAGGCGTCGAATGGACCGTTTCGTCGATGTTGCGGTGATGGAATATTCGGAGCCTGACTGTAAACTGCAACCTACCTCGCCAAAGACCGGCCGCACTGGTGATTACCCTGCAAGGAGTGGGGGTAACCAGGCAAGGCATACGACGCCCACCGTCCCTAACCATATGCGCCAAGGCCTACCGTCTACGAGCCCATC